AAAAAAAAAAAAAAAAAAAAAAAAGAAAAGAAAGGAAAAAAGAAAAAAAGGAAAAAAAGAACGGAAGAAAGTGACAAGCAGGTTGCTTGCGCGAGTTTGTTTCTGTGTGGGCGGGTTTGATGGAGGGGGAGGGGGAGAGGGGGAAATTGTTCGATGGCAAGGTAAATTCGCTCTCCGTTTTTAGTTACGCGTTCAACGTTCCATGTCCGGTGTGCACACGGCGTGTTCCGGGTTCCAGCTTTATAGCTCTCGTATTTTATGTTTCATTGTCGCGAGAACACAGCTGGTCGTTAGTAATGTTACATTGCGTTGCTGGTTTTTTCTTTCTTTCTTTCTTTCTTTTTTTTTTTATCGAATGTTGGAAAACGCGCGAATTAGACTTAGACTTAGATTCTGCGTGAAATCTCGGGGATCAAGGATTCGCATTCTTGTACTTTTTTATTACGAACTTTTCATATTTCGTTGTCGAATGTGCATGCATTCAGATCGATTTTTATATTATTGCTCGTTGTACCTCGTGTAACGAGTGAATTGAGATAATTCATAGAAGGAAGCAGAAAATAGAAATTCGTTTAATATAATTTCGAATGTGTGTATTCACAGATAGATCTATCTATGATAAATAATTGCAATCCGTGACAGATGGTTGCAATCTCTCGTAAATTGTTAAGCACGAGATTTGTTTGTGATTCTTGATACTCTAATGGCGCAATATTTTAGCTCTAAATTGATTTGATAGGATATAATAACACGATATTGTTATTATTTCCCAGCGTTTGTTACCACATGTTATTTTAAATCGTTCCCATCTTGCTATTGGAAGGCTGGTTTTATTTATTTCATTTATATCTGTTTTTACGGAGAACAATAACGGGTAATATCTTTATCCCGTGTATGAAATGATTTACACGGGAAACGTGATCTTTTTGAATAGACGTTCATTAAAACTTTCACTGGATGAGATATTATTTCCACCGTTAATTAAACCAACTAAATCCAATTGGATGAATACCGTAATTCGACGTGGATCGATGGTGTTCAATCATTTTCTCTCAGCCTGTTTTCATTCATATATTATTATTTTTAGACTTGAATCCGTAT